TTCTGCCTATCCAAGAGCATGGGAGATCTTCCCATCTTCTGAGGTCTTCTTCAATTTCTTTCTTTAGTGTTCTATAGTTTTCATTATAGAGGTCTTCCACCTGTTTTTTTTTAATTTACATTTATTTGTAGTTGGACACAAGACCTTTATGTTATTTATTTATCTTTATGTGGTGTGAGGATCGATCCCAGGGCCTCACTATGCTAGACCAGCTCCACCCCTGAGCCCCAGCCCCAGCCCTCTTCTTCATTTCAGTAGTGTCTGTTGTGATGCTTCCTTTTTCATTATGAATTCTAGTAATTTGAGTTTTCTCTCTCCTTTTGGTTAGAGTGGCTAAGGGTTTATCAATTTTTTAATTTTTTTTCAAAAAAACATCTTTTGTCATTTTTTTTCAATTTTTTCTTTTGTTTCAATTTCATTGACTGATTTGAGCCCTGATTTTCATCATTTCCTGTCTTTCTCTACTTTTGGTGTTGATTTGTTCTTCTTTTTCTAGGGCTTTGAGATGCAATGTCAGTTGGTTTATTTGTTTACTTTTTATTCTTTTAATGAATGAGCTCAATGCAATGAAATTTTCTATTGGCATAGCCTACATAGTGCCCCAGAGATTTCGGTGTGTTGTATCAGAGTTCTCATTTACCTCTAAGAGTCTTTTTATCTCTTCCCTGATGTCCTCTGTTTCCCATGCATAATTCAATAGCTTATTGTTTAGTCTTCAGGTGTTGGAGTAGCTTCTATTTTTAATTTTACCATTGATTTCTACTCTCATTTCCTTATGGTCTGATAGAATGCAGGGTAAGACCTCTATTTTTTTGTGTGTGTATATTTGCTAAGACTTGTTTTGTGGCATAACAAATGGTCTATTAAGGATCCATGTGCTGCTTGAGAAAATTGTTGATGGTTGAAATATTCTGTATATATCTGTTAAGTCTAAATTATTGGTTGTATGGTTTCTTTAGTTTTTATTTGGAAGATCTATCCTGTGATGAGAGAAGTGTGTTAAAGGCACCCAGTACTATTGTGTTGTGGTCCATCCGATTCTTGAAATTGAGAAGGGTTTGTTTGATATACATGGAAGCTCCATTTGGGGGGACATAGATATTCATGATTGTCATGTCTTGTTGATGTGTCATTCCCTGAAGCAGTATGAAATGCCCCTCTTTATCCCTTCTGACTGATTTTGGTTTGAAGTCTACTTCATCTGATATGAGGATGGAAACCCCTGCTTGTTTACGTGGTGTGTGTGAGTGATAGGTTTTTCTCTACCCTTTCACCTTCAGTCTGTGGATGTCTTTTCCTATACATGCATCTCTTGAAGCACCATATGATTAGGTCTTTTTTTAAAAATCCAATCTTCCAGTCTATGTCTTTTGATTGATGAGCTTAGGCCATTAACATTCAGGGCTATTATTGAATTATGGTTTGTATTCCTGGTCATTTTGTTTTATTTTTTATTTTTAATTTGACTTGGTCACTTCTTTGGTTGGCTTTTCCTTTAGTGTAGTTCCTCCCTTTGCTGGTTTTCATTTTAATTTCCTTCTCATGGAATATTTTGCTGAGGATGTTCTGTAGTGCAGGCTTTCTCATTGTAAATTCTTTTAACTTTTGTTTATCATGGAAGGTTTTTATTTCATCATCAAATTTGTAGCTTAACTTTACTGGATAGAAGATTCTTGGTTGGCATCCCTTTTCTTTCAGAGCTGGGGATATGTTGTTGCAGGGTCTCCTAGCTTTGAGGGTCTGGGTTGAAAAATCTGCTGAGATATGAATTGGTTTCCCCCATAGGGGTAATCTGAAACTTTTCTCTTGTGGCTTTTAAAATTCTATCCTTATTCTGTATACTAGGCATTTCATTATAACGTGCCTTGGTGTGGATCTGTTGTAATTTTGTACATTCAGTGTCCTGTAAGCCTCTTGTATTTGATTTTCCAATTCATTCTTCATGTGTGAGAAATTTTCTAATATTATTTTATTGAAGATATTGTGCTTTCCTTTGGTTTATATCTCAGTGCCTTCCTCTATCTCAATAATTCTTAGATTTTGTCTTTTCATGTTATCCCATAATTCTCGGAAGTTCTGTTTCTTACCATCTTCATTGTATGGTCAACTTTATTTTAAGATTGTATGTTTTGCTGATGGATTTGTGGCTCCTTGGTAGAGCACTTGCCTAGCATGTGTAACGCACTAGGTTCAATTCTCAGCACCACATGTAAATAAATGAATAAAACAAAGGTCCATTAACAACCAAAAATATACATAAAAATAATTTTTAAAAAGATTATATATTTTGACTTCATTGCCTGAGGTTTTGTCTTCCAAGTGATCTCGTCTGTTGGTGATTCTTTTTATTGAATTTTTTATTTGATTTATTGTTTCCTTCATTTCAAGGATTTTTATATGTGTTTTTTTTTCAGAATCTCTTTTTCTTGAAGTAATTTTTTGCTACCTGTATTTACTCTCTTATCCCTTTGTTAGAGTGATCAATTGTTGCCTGTATTTGCTCTCTTATACCATTCTGTGCTTTGATGATCATTTCAATTATGTACATTGTGAACGCCTTCTCTGACATTTCATCTATGTGCTGTCAATGGATTCTATAATTGCAGCATCTTGGTTTGTTTGAGGCACTTTCTTCCCTTGTTTTTTATGTTGTCAATGTGTCATTGTGGATCTGAGGTGTTAGAACTTTTACCCTATAAATTTGTAGTGTCTCTGCAGGTTACCAATACCTCACCTTTAAGTGGGAGATCAATATTTACAGCACCCAGTGCAAACAATGTGAAGCCTTAAATCAAATAGCTCCTATTTAGACAAGTATAGTTTTGTAGCAATAAACAGAAATGTGTTCAATTAATATCTATGATAAAATAGTAGGTTTGCATAAGGTCTCCAATTTCTAAAGGTGGACAAAGAGAGAGAGCAGGGTGTGGGGATGTGGGGTTTATGAAGTCAGAGGTGAGAACATGGAGGTATGAAGCCATAGGAAGAGTGAAAGAGGAATCAAGAGAAGAGGCATCAGGGATGCCTCTGGTGTAACCAAGCCTGCAGGGACCTTGGTGATGGTCTTCCAGGTCCTGGCTGTTGTCTCTATATGGAAGTGGGCCAGGAAAGCCACATGTTGGTAGATTGGGGTCGTATCACTGCCCTCCTCCGGGCATGCATGATTACTCTCCTTAACTGCTTTTTGACTAAGACTTCTGCCCCCTTCAGCCCTAGGTTCCTCTGTCTTTCTTCTTCTCATGCCAGGTGACCTTGGAGGGACTGCAGCTATTTTGGGAACCTAGATAGAAGGCAGTTGGAGAAGGAGCTTCCTTTCATTTGGACCCCAGTGCTGCTATTTCCATGGCTCCCTGCCCCTTCCTATGCAGTGAAGGGAAGCCAGCTGTTTTGACACGGGGATGGCTTCCAAGAACATTGCTTCCACTCTGAGTACCAACATGAAGGGGCAGGGCCAGGGCTCTTGAGATGCAAGCAGAAACTATGATCGCCAGTACCGAAAACCACAGCTATGAAATCAGGAGACGTCCACTTTGGACCACAAGGAGTCACCAAAACAACTAGAAAAACTAGGTGAAGTACCTGAACCAACAGTTTCCAGGTATCCAATAGTGGGCAGCATATTGCTTTGGTTGCTTAGAGAAGAGACAAATGAGGTGTGTCCTGTGAGTGCCTCATCTAGAGGCAAGACCACGGTGTGGGAGGGGACCCAAGCAGAGACTCTGATGGGATGGGGATGTCTCGAATTCTGACCTTCCAGAATGGATACTGGATGCATGGAACATTCAATAGAGACCTCAAAAGGGCCACACTTTACAGGAGATCTTAATGAGCCCTAATGGAGAGGCCACTCATCCACCCAGCAAAGCTTAAAATCAGACCTCAGACAACCAATGGATCTACAAGCAACTCAAGCCTGCCAGGAAACTCTTGAACAAGGGCATCAGCCCCACATCCAGCTTTTGGTCAGAAACCACAAGGCATGCAAAACTGTCCCCCATACCTGCAAGTGGGAAACCTTGTCAAGGAGCATCAAGGCAGAAAGGCTGCACCCAGTCCCTGGGACCCCTCTGCCAGACCCCCGAGTGCTTGGCAGGGGTCAGGCTCTGGAACAAGGCCTCCTGAAAGCCACACCCCAGCACTGAACAGGGAGAGGCAGCTGAGGAGCGAGGACATGTTATTTGCCTCCAGTTGCAGAAACTCCTTCCTCGTTAGCCAGAGCATTCAGGTAGCTCAGAAGAGCAGCATCCTGCAGAGGTGAAGGTGTGCTGTGCCAGGTTGAAAGTGCACTCCCCAGTCCTGACTGCCGGTTGCTGTAAAGAGACTTCACTTATCCCTGGCATAGTGTGGGTGCTCAGTACCTTGCCACTTTATGATGATTGTATTGGGGGGTGGGGATGTGGCTCGGTGGTACAGCGCTTACCGAGCATGCCCTGGGTTCGATCGCCAGCACCAAAACCAAGTTATGATTATTGCATTTGTGGGGAATTCTTTCATTCCTCAGACCTATGAACTCTCACAAGTGGAGGATTTGTCACCCACACCCAGTTAAAACAGAAGTCCTCACTGGTCAAGTACCTACTCACCCAGCACAGCTTGTTGATGCTCATTCTCTTGAGAGCTCCCAAATCATATTAAGTGTCAGGCCCGAGAGGATGTGGATCTACCTCATGTGGGGTGTGGACTCCGACTCAAACCCTGGCCTCCTCTCTTTACCCTGCTATGACCACACAGTCCAGGGACTGCAGGGCCCAGGCCCACATGTGTCTGAATGATTTCCACAGTCCCTGTCTTGTGTCGGACAAGGTACCCTGGAGACCAGTAAGAGTAGAGAAGCATGCCACCTGCCACAGGGCTGTCCCTTGGCAGTCCTCACGCACCCATCATGAAACCACATGCCAAGTGCCTTGGGGAAGCCAGAGTTAGCACAAGACAGGGCTTTTGCCTACCAGGGCTGCATGGCTGTTTGCTACTGTCTCTCACCTGCTTTTTTCTATAACCAGGCTATGTGGCATCCATCATGGGCAGAAGGAGGCCTCTGCCCAGGATCCATGCACGGGACCAGCAGCTCCGGGCACAAGCAGAACGACAGGCAGTGAACTTCATGGTGCAAGGTACTGGAGCCCAGCCGGCTGCTGCCCGCCTCTCCTGTGCCCTATCTCAGCACCCTTGTCCCTTGGGCATGTGGCGGCTGCAGAGCCAGGCAGCACCCTCCAGACTACCATGGTGCACTGCTCCTGTAAACCCTCCTGAGGAACCCCGTAGCCCTACCTGGTGGTCTGGCAGTACTGTCCCCCATACCTACAAGTGGGAAACCCAGTCAAGGATCATCAAGGCAGAAAGGCTGCACCCAGTCCCTGGGACCCCTCTGCCAGACCCCCGAGTGCTTGGCAGGGGTCAGGCTCTGGAACAAGGCCTCCTGAAAGCCACACCCCAGCACTGAACAGGGAGAGGCAGCTGAGGAGCGAGGACATGTTATTTGCCTCCAGTTGCAGAAACTCCTTCCTCGTTAGCCAGAGCATTCAGGTAGCTCAGAAGAGCAGCATCCTGCAGAGGTGAAGGAGTGCTGTGCCACTGGGCTCCACACTGGCTGCCCGTGTTCCTCAGGGTCCTGAAACAGAACTCTTTGTGTCCACAGGCTCTGCTGCAGACCTCTGTAAGATGGCCATGATCCGCATCTTCTCTGCAGTGGCCACTTCCCCCACCCTGACGGCCAGGTCAGTGAAGACAGTCAGGCCACATGTTAGCCAGCCTTTCCCAGGGTTTGGATGGGAAGTGGCTGTTCTATGCAAGACCCCCATGCCTGCTCCACCTGTGGGACCTCCATTCTGGCTGCTCAGCCACCACAGAGCAAAGGACCCCTTGACCCAAACCCTCAAGACTCATAGCCTGGCCTCTAGTGGCTGGGGCCCAGCAGCATCAAGCAGAAGTGCTATCCTCAGTCCCTACTCAGGGCCTGAAGGGAGGCACAACCTGAAGGCCCCATCTGCAGCTGCCCCCTCCCACATCCCGGCCGGTCACAGTCCCACAGCAGGACCATGGGATGCCATGCTTGCCCAGAACCCATGCTCAGGTGCACCTCAATGGCAGGTCTATTACAGCCACCCCAGCCACGACTCTCTCAGGTCTGTCTCTGTCCTGAGTTTTGAAGTGGCAAGAGGATAAGGAACTGTCACCCCAGCTCTCTCCCACTGGCAACTGAAGCCTGAACGTGGCTACAGGTGACCACCCAGACATCCCCTCTCTTTGAGGAAAATGGACTCCCCTCAAGAATCCCTGAACCCCTTCAGATGACAAAGCACATCAGCCCCTCAGAGGGGTGGTGGTGTCAGATCCCAGAAGGGATTCACTTTACATGCTCACCCTAAAGACCTAGGCTATCCACTCTGGTCATGTGGGGTGGCCTCTGCAGGCCAGAGTGCAACTGTGGCTGCCCAGGTGGGTCATGCCTCCTCTGCTGGGAGGGGAGCCAGTGGCAGGGTGGGCAGCTGCTTCTCTCGATCATAAAATGTGAACTGGTCTCAGCAGTCTGCACTCTGCAGCCCCACGCACCCCACCTCTGGGATGTAGAGACCTGCTTTCAGTGGCCTTCCATTTCCACCCAAGCTCAGTTTTCTCTTGGCTTCTAATGTTGTTTTATGTGCTAAAGAATGACTTCTTCTTTATCTGAGATCTTTCATCTTTCTTTAAAAACCTGTCTCCTTTATTACTTCAGATACTTTCTTTGCTCATTTTGACTTTTGAGCCAGTGTTATTTTGCTGATTTCAGCAACTTCACGTAGGAGAGGATACTGTGGGGTGGCGCCCCACAGAGTTGAGGGCAGGAGCCTGTCCCCAGCCCCCAGACCCTGCTGGCTACTCCCCTTTGCAGCCCTGCACTGACACTTCTTCACTGGGGAGGAGTCATGAAGGAGGGCTGTCAGGAAGACAAGGGTGCCTGAGATCCTAGCTGAGCCTCCCCATGACCCTGCTGACTCCCACGCTGACTGGACGGTGCTCTGACTCCTACAGTGATTGGGGTGGTCAACGGGTGGAAGCAGAGTAAGCAGATATTGCCCCACCTCACATCTCCATCACCTCTTGCTGCCATCTGCTGCCTCCCCAGCAAGCACATACTAGCCAAGGTTTCCCTCTGGGTTTCCTGTAGTTCCTCTTCTGCTGGGATGTGGAAGTCCTGCCCACTCCCAAAGTCTCTCAGGGTGGACTCCAGCTTCTCAGAGGTGTGAGTGGCCTGCAGTGGTTTTCCACCATAGTGGAAGACTAGAAAAATGGTCTTGTTTTTGCTGCATGTAGAATTGGTAGAAGAAGTTGTCATGTGAAGACTTGGCATCTTTGGTGATAGGACCTCCTGCAAGCTGAGCACAGGCCATTAGGGGTTTAACTGAACGAAGGCACAGCAGGACGTGACTCATCCCAGTTCACCAGAGCTAAGCCAGCACCAGGTCCCCCGTGCCTCCTTGGAGGTGGATTCGAGCAGGGGCACCACACAGATGTATTCTCAGGAGGAACCCGCAAGGGGGCTCAGTGCCACTAGGCATGCCCCTTGGAAGGGAGCTGCCTCTCAAGCCTGGGACAGGGACATGAGGTGGGGCCCTCTGGAATGTTCCCTGAGGGAGCCTGGGTCTGTTGGCCTCAGACAGGCTGTCCAGATGCAGATGCAGCAGCCCCACCTTCTCTCAAAGGCAGCGCTCTCCCCTGACCCCGGGCACGGGAGGTCGGAGCCTGCGTTCCTCTGCTCCTCATCCACCCTGAGCCACACATTCTGCTGACTCCTGTGCCCCAGTTTCCAGTGAGAAACGCGGCAGTGTCTCCATCCCATGCTGTGAGGGTGATGTGTGAGTGACTGACAACCGCACCTATTCTTAGGTCCTGCCAGACCAGCAGCTCAGATCTCACCATGTGATTTCAAAAAGTGTGAAACTTTCTGCCAAATCTGGAAAGATTCACAAGCACCTCTTCTGAGGTTTCTGCCAGTTTGAAAAGTGAGCCCCAGGGAGCCAAAGACCCTGGCAGACTCTTGGTCCCTACTGTGTACTGCCAGTATGACTCCTGGAAAGGCAGAGTCCATGCTCTGACCAGAGGCTGCATGAAAAAATGCAGGTGCACCGCTGAGGGTGCCCTGCAGAGTGTGCCCCCAGTACTCGCATGGCCCAGCCCAGTGTGAGTCTGCAGATGCACAACCATGAGGACATGTGCTCGGCCCTCAGGAAGGTGGCACAGCTACAGCAGCTCAGACTCCCCAACTTGACTTTTTCTCCCATAATGAGAATCCAGGACCCAGTAGTTGCTGATTGTTTCAGAAGCTCAGGACAGCAGGACCAAAGGTCCTCTGGCTACTGGTTTCTTTCCTCTTGGTGCCACAAGGGAGGTAGCTGCTCTGACCACCACAACACTTTCCAGGCCAAAGGAGAAAGTGATGACCAAAAGAGCTGAGGCAGCCCTTTCAGGGCCTTCCTAGAAGTTCTTGGCACACTGCATCTAAGGGAGAGCTTGGGAAGACAGCTCCATCTCCACCCACCCAACAGCAGAGAGAGGAGAACAGAAAGAGGCAGCCACCACAGTCTCTGCTGCAGAGTGCTGATGGAGTCCCCCTGCCCAGATCTTAGAGAGTTGCTCCTCCTCCCAGCCAGCGTCCGCCACCACATGCCCGTGACTGCTGCCCAGCAGGGCTTCACACAGCTCCCCTGTGCAGCCCCAACTTTCCAGTACCACGTGGGGGTGCAGCGCAAGCAGCAGGGGAGGCAGGATGGGAAGGGATCACTGTCGTTCAGGGCTCACACCAGGAGGAAGCTGAGGCTGTAAAGGGCAGAACACTGGGGCCCCATGTGCCTCCCATCATTCCCGGGGGGCTTCAGGCCCTCACTGATTGTCCTGAGTCACCTCCACCATGTGTCCCTTCCTTGAGTGGGCAGTCCAGACACCACTGTCCATCCACAGGAGGGGGTTGCACTGAGTCTGCATGCCACAGCCCTGGGCTGTGAGTCCCAGAGGATTCTGATGCTGTCTGCGGAGGAGCATAAGCCAACCCGTGCTGCCCTCCAAAGAGCATGTGGGGTTACAGAAGTTGGTGCAGTTTTTGTACCAACATGGAGCTGTAGGAGCCAGCTGCTTGGACAGGACCACTCCACCCCTTGCCCTGTGCACTTATGCTCCTGTCCCTTCTCTCCACTTGAATCTATAAAACCTGCCAGAGACTACTGCCCAGCAGTTCATCACCCCCAACCCCTGCCAGGTCGTCCTGGCTTCCTGTCCATACTGATGCAGGGAGGGCTGAGGAGGTGTGGGCTGAAGCTGCCCTGGAGCGTGGCCTGTGGTGGAGAGTGCAGCCCTGCTCAGGCTGCTGGGAATGGCCACCCCGTCCTGCACAGCTGGAGGGCTCAGGGGTCCATGAGACAGGCTGGGAGCTGAGGGGCACCCAGGCTGTCCAGGAGTCTCCACACAGGCGCTGTCACCAGGCAAGTGCATGTGCAGTCCTGGCCAGGCCACCCCAGATTCCCCCTGTCATTGTAATGGGGGGACTTGGAAAGATTTTTAAATTTTGCACGTTGAATTTTGATGTATTTTGTTGAATATTTATTTGTTTGCCTTCAGAAACAAAATTTTAAAAGATTGCCCCATCCCATTGCTGAGGGTCTTCACTGCTCACAGCAGGCCCCATACTGTCCTTTTAATCCACGACAGGGCCTCCACCCCCAGCCCAAAGAGGGCTTTCTCCATCTGGGCCAGTCCTCAGCCAGGGGCTGGACAGCTCAGCAGTCACTTCTATGGAGCCTTCTCCCTCTCTTCCAGCTCCTTCTCCCAGCTCCCGGAAGCTATTCTGGTGACTGTAAAGTGACCCCAGGCAACAGTGCCCAGGGTGGGTCCTCTCCACTTCGCCACAGGGCAACCTCTTTGGGGCACATAGTGCCAGACAACCTTCCCTGAATCCTGGAGAATGAGCCCATGTCTCCACAAGGCAGTGTCTAGGCTACCCAGGTAACTGTTGCCCCCTTCCAGGTTGGTTGCCCAAATTCACGATGAGCTGCTGTTTGAAGTGGAAGACACACAGGTCCCCGAGTTCGCAGGTAAACCTGGGAGAGCAAGAGGTGCTTTCTCTCACACAGTTAAAGAGAGACCTGCCCTGTCCTCTGACTGACCTTCCATGGACCTTTCCCTAGCAGGAAGGGGCCCAGCTTGGTGTGGCACCCTGTAAAAGCCCAGGTGGGCGTCCAGTGCTGTAGTGGAGCTTCCAGAGCATTCCACAGACACCAAGGCTGGGCCTCCACCTGCCTGGTGGGGACGGTCTGGACGGCTGGTGGCCCAGGCCCTGAGGCTAGTCACAATGCCAGCACCACAAAGCTGCCCTCACAGGTGTGGTGGTCACTTAAGACTTCACCCAAAAGCAGCAGAGATCATGGTCTGTGCCCAGGCTGCTCTCAGCCCCAGAGCCATGGCCAAAGCTGGAGTCGGGAGCATGGCACCTGGCCAGCCTGATTGGGGAGGGTGGAGGTCAGTGCAGAGCAGTGTTTTGGGCTGGAGGGCAGGACTGAGGGGCTTCATGCTGTATCCTGGGCCATGAACCAGCCACAGCAGCCATGTGGGGATCAAGGCCCCTAGACCAGCCAGTTGGGGTGACCCTGTGGATGCAGGAAACAATTAGGGAGCTGGGGAGGGGGTGCTGGGCAGGACTCAGCCTGAGCTTCCTGTCTGTGACTCCGGAGCCCCTGAGGTGAGGAGCTTGGCCAGGGTTTGCCTGGCAGGCTCAAATGGCTCTGCGTTCCTGTTCTAGCTCTTGTCAGGGGAACCATGGAGTCCTTGCAACAGATTCAGGACCCGGAGCTGCAACTGCAGGTGAGAAGGGCACACCCCTGCCCAGCCTCCCCCACTGTGTCCCTCACTGTCAAGAATCAGCCCAGAGTGGAAGGGGGAGTGCCAGACTGCCACCATGGCACAAGAAGGCAAGGACAGAGGACCGGCCCCTTGCCCTGCATCCCAGGACTGCTGCCAAGAAGCCCCCTTCCCTGCTGGGTGGTTGGCTGTTGCCTGGTGAGAAGCCAGGATGAGGGTCAGCTGCTCCCCCCAGCCTGGGACTCTCCATCACCCCTGTGTCCAAACCTCTTGCCTGAGGCTCACACTTACTGGGGGTGTAAGTGCTGGGGCCCCCACCTACCCCAAGCATGTCCCTAGAATATGCCCAAACCTAGTATCAGCCTGCTCCTGCTTGGGCACCACTTGGAGGCAATTCTGGGTCCTCACCAGGAAAAGACTGTAGTGCAGGCTCCCCAAGAGTGATGGGGACAATTGAAGGAGGAGTAATGAGGACGCGGGGGCAGGGTCCCAAGTCTGCACAGAGTTCCCAAGTAAGGTCAGAGACACATTCCTGTCACTAGTGAGGATCCAGCCCAGTGGAACGGGCTGCAGAGGGGCTTACCAGACCTCCTCCCAGAGCAGCCTCTGCTCTGCTGGCAGGCAGCCCCTGGGGGGCCCTCCTGGGAAACCTCCCCCTCCCATAGGATGTGCCACTACACCTTCAGAGCTCAGGGACTCACCAAGGCCTCCCCTCTCCCCACTCTTCAGAGGAGAGGGGCACCCAGAAGCAGCCCAGGTACTTTGTCCAGCCAGGAAGGGAACTTATGCCCTCTAGTAGATCCACAGAAGCCTGTGTCTGTGGCAGGCAGAGAAGTGGGGCTACCAGACAATGGAAGCCGGGAAATCCCCACCCTGGCTTCCAGAAGGAGCCCTTCTAGAGCACCAAGCTGTGGGGGACCACTGGGGCTACAGCTGGTAGCTATGGTAGGGCCTTGGGCAAGAGAGTCCACACAGAATCGGCCACCCGTGAAGAGTCTGCTGCCCCCCTGGCTCCTACCCAACTGGGTGATTTCTGGGGGTGATGGGCACAGATTGCCCCAGGACACACCTCGCCCACCCTAGGGCACCTTGCCTGGAGGCCCTCCCTACCGGCTGCATGCTGCACCAAGGACTTAGGGGACATCTCTGTCAAGGCCAAGGCAGCACCATGGGCAGGGGGCTGTGTGTGGTATGGACCTGTTACTGGGAAGACGAGTGTGCATGTGCACAGATATGTACGTGTGTGCACAGCTGGGTGCTGCCATGGCTGTGTCCGGTTGTGTCCCGGGATGTGTGGACCCCTCCATTCTGCTTATGGACCTGGGAGGCGTCTAGCTAGCCCAGGCCCAGAGCTCACTTCTGATTGCCACCCACAGGTGCCCCTAAAGGTGAGCCTGAGCGCCGGCCGTTCCTGGGGACACCTGGTTCCACTGCAGGAGGCCCTGGACTCTTAGCTCAGCCTGAGTCACACCGAGTCTCCCAGCAACAGTCTGGCTGTCCAGGTCGCTGGCTGGGCACCTCCTGGGCCTGTGCATTTTCCCCTTCATTTTGTCTGTAGCCCCAGGCAACAGGAGGAGGAGGGAACTGGTCTCCACCAGCCCATTGTGTGGCCTTTCCCAAGGTCACCAGCGAGTACTTTGAGCTCCTGGATGAATACAGGCCCATTAACCCTTTGGGGCTGGGATGGCTGGGATGTCCCCAGGAGTAAACACTTTGTGTGAAGCTTATCTTCCTGGTCTGAGTGAGTTCTTCCCATAGGTAGGAAAGGCCATGTCCACAGCCAGAGGCAGGGCTGAGGCCCCAAACTGGGGCGGCCTGGACACAGCCCAACCCTGTTGGTTGTCCACTCAGGCCCTGTCGTGCCTGCTCCAGACGCAGGCTGCAGGCCAGTGGACACTAGCACAAGGAGCCAGCCTGTGGGGACAGCACCTGAGGCTCTAGACAGAAGGCCCGGCTTCCTCCCACACCTCTGGGCCCACAGCTGGCAGTGCAGCCGGATGTCCCCAGAGTGTTACCTGAGCCCTGGCAGAGTTGGGGGCAGCCCCTGACCCTGGTCTTGCCCTCCTGGGAAGGAATGTGCAGGGTCGGATTCCTCTTGACTCCCATGACAGGACAGGGAGCTGGGCAAGGCAGGGCCAGGGAAGAGGAGAGGAGGAAACCCCATGAAAAGTTGCCTCAGAGATCGGTTTTGGGGATCCTCCAGGTTACAGGGTCCCTCTGCCAACAGGGTGGCATCCTGTGCTAGGGTCTGACTGAGCATAGGTCTGTGTCCACCCACTATCCCTGGTGCCCCTCCATACCCTGCTCTTTACCCCTGGTCCCCAGCGCTGCCTGCAGCCCCCTGGGGCCCCTCCTCACACCCTGTGACATCTCCCTCCCTTATAGACACTGGGGCTCCACCTCCCCACCTGACGGCCTTGGCGCCCACCCTCCTGATCCAGATCTCACTGTCCCTCAGAGGTGCTGGGTGAGCAAGAGGGCAAGCAGGCAGGGCCCAGGCCTATGGTGGCACTACCCACGGGCTGCCAGGGACACTGGGACTGAGAAGAATCCAGGACAAGGAGGCCTCACCTGTTGGGGGCTACCGACTCAGGAGAAGGGCCAAGACCCCAAGGGTATGCAGATCCCAGCCCAGGGCCCAGAGCCAGAAGACAGCAGCGGGGCCCCCTGGCTTGTAGTTCCCCAGGGTGGGAGGGAGGGGGCGCACAGCTGCCTCTCAGCTGAGGCAAGTGTTTGGTGGGTTGGAGGCGACTGCTTGGAAGGCCCACCCCACCCAAAGCCCAGCTGTCACCTCTCTGCACCTCCCAGGCTCAGGGGTAGTGTTCAGGGCCTGCTTCCAGGTTGGGTCAGCTGGCAGCGGCAGCCCAGCCGTGGGGGAGGGAGTCCAGCAGCACAGAGTCCAGCGTCGCCAGCCTCGGAGCCACCTCACAAAAGCACAGAGCCAGGTTCCTTCAACTCTGGTTTTATTGAAAAACAGCAGCATTGGGGGCCATGCAGGCGGGGACACACACCCACTCAGGCCCCCAGCCTGTCTCCTTGGGAACTTGGCTTGTTGCCTGGCCCTGGGGCTGTTTGGCACTTCCCGGGTCTCAGGACACCTCCGCCCCATGTGGGCTCACAGTACAGCTTCAGGAACAACCACAACAGTAGACCTGCACCTGGACCAGGCCCAGCCAGTGTCCTGTCCCAGGGTCTCCAACTCCTCTGCCCTGCCCTCAGCAGAGAGGGAGGTGGCCAGAGAAGCGGGGTCATGAGAGGCTCACCAGCCCACAGGGCTGTGCTACATTCACATGGATCTGGGCCTAGAGGAGTGGGCACAGCAAGGGACGACCACAGGACCCTGCTTCTCACCACAGCAACCTCCCAGAGCAGGAAGGAGGCTCTTCCCACCAGTGCCCTCTCCACTGCTACACATGTGCACACACATTCACACGCACACGTGTGCACACACTTACAAGGACATGCCCAGGCACACACTCATAGACATGAATGTGTGCACATGCACACAAACATGTTCACAGTCACACACGCAACATGAAGATGTTCACACATACACATGCACACCTGCAGGTGCCCGTGTGGACACACATGCTCATGTGCACATGTACACATGTGCTCACACATGCACACCTGCTCAGAGATGCTCGTGAACACACGTGCTCCCATATATACAATACACATGTACCCATACACTCCTGTGTGTGCTTGCACACACACACTCATGCACATGCTCACACATACATAAGCGCACATGCACAAAGACAGGAATGCACGTTCACATACACAGGTACACTCCTTTAAAACGGCTAATTATTGCTGTGTGTTTTTTTTTAAATACATCAAACAATGGTATGTCAGGGCTCATCCTCACCCAGGCCAGGGTAGCTCTGTGGACACGTCACCACTGGGAGCAGAGATGGCAGCATCAAGGAACAGTGCGCTCCAGGGTCTGCTCCACACCTGGCCTCAGCTCATCCCTGACATTTTTGTCCCAGGAGTCACCTGCAAGAACATGGCCCGAGACCAGAACTGACCCCCAGGAGCCACCTCCAACAGACACAGCAGGTCAGCAGGGAGCAGACAGGACCAGCAACAGGGCCCACTGCGGCCAGAGGCAGCGGCTCCCCAGGCACCCACAGGAAGGTGGTCCTATGGTGCCCACACAGCCCACAGCCTGGCTGGGCAGCCACCTTCAGTCCCCAAGAAGTCCCATGCCCTGGCAACGCCCAGAAACCCACATTCCCAGGACTCTGGCCCCAGACACAGCCTTGTAATCCAGTCCCATGGATTTGGGGACTTGGGGCCACTGGGGAGAGGCAGGCAGGGCAGGGGCAGTGTGCCCCCTACAGGCTAGAGACGACCCCTATAGCCCAGAGAGCTTCCTTGGCACCTGGCAGACTGCCCAGAAAGCTCACCTTGGGGTGTCCCCAGCCCCATCCCTTCTAGCTTCAGACTTGCTGTCCACAAGACCTCCCAGCCAGAACCCTCTCCCAGAGCTAGCCGTCTACCCTCTCAGACCAGGCTGGCCCCATCCCTCAGCTTCTCCAGTCAGAGGTAGTATCACAGCTGCTGCCGTGCCCAGGGTGGTGCAGCAGAAACCAAAACTGGGCATGGGGGGACGGGGGACAGGAGGGTAGGCCATGATGGCTGCGATGGCTCCAGCCCTCACACTCAGAGCCCCCATGTGCTGAGGCACATGTGGGTGAAATGATTGCCTGGTCACCCACCTTAGGGGCTGTCTGCACAGATGTGTGCCTGGGCAGAGGGAGCTGCTGCACACCATAGGTTTGTCTAATGCTGATGTTCTGGAACATTCTACTTCCACCTTTCACCCTCCCTACTCCAAACCAGTCTTCCAAACACACAACAGAAATCCCAAGTATCCAGACCCTGAGCACAGGGCCTTCCTGTGGGAATGGCCAAAGGCATGTTAGCCTCCCCCAGGCCTTTCCAGGCCAGGAACGTGGGTGCCAGCCACCTAAGGTGGGCAAGGCCTGGGGGAGGAGGACAGCAGGCCAGCAAACTCAGGGGAGCCACACTGGACACATGGCAGCCAGGCCCAGGAGGGCCTCCACAGAGGTAGAAGATACATCAGAATCTCTACAAACATATAAAATTCATGTCAGTGCACATTTGCGGAGCAGTCACTGCTCAGGCTGGAGGGATAAGGCAGGTGGGGAGAAGCCCAGCCTCCAGCTTGGAGGGGCGGGAAACCTGCCCACAGCCTTCCAGACCTGCGGAGCTGCAGTGGCCTGACGAGGGGGCTCTGTCCCAGTGCAGCCTGAGCCTGCCCTCCTCCTGCTGCATCTCTCCCAAGTCCTGGCAGCAACCCAGGGCACCACAGAACAGGCAAGAGCCCAGAAAGCGTCCCTGCAACCCACTGGGCAGTGCAGCCAGGAAGACGTTCCCTCAGCAAGCCTGGGGTCACCAGGTGAGGAGGACACATCCCTCCCCCAGGACCCTCTGAGCCTCTGGAGTGGGGGAGGGCTGTGAGCTCACTCAGCTCACCACCAAGGAGACACTGGCTGCCCCCGTCCCCAGGCTCTGCCCTGGCCTGGGAGAGCCCCAGCACCCCCATCCCGTGCCCTGAGCCCAAAGACTGCAGGCTCCCGAGGCACAGGACAGGAGAAGCAGGCGGAGCTGCCCACGAACCATATACTGACTCCACCACGCCCTGCCTCCTGTGCCCCAGGTCTCAGACCAGCCGGCAGCCCCAAACGCCCCCGTAAGACCAGCCCAAGACCAGCCCCAGCAACCAGACCAAACAGAAAGAGGAAAAGGCACGACTGTTTGTTTTCCATTTTGCTAAAACACTTTACGTCTGTCTGTATAATCCAGGTTAACAAAATCTGAGAGCTGCAAGAAAATAGGGGCCGATTTCTGTACAGTCTACAAAACTCCCATCCCCGAGTGGGGACCGGGCGCCACCAGGGAGGAATGTACAGGGGAGATCGGGGTCTGTACAGTTGCAGTTCTGCAAATGCCTCAATTGCTAACAGGACAAAAGGCCCCTCGGGACGTCCATCCATCCATTTCTAAGAACGTGGCCTTGGGACCTAGCTCTGCGGCCTGCCCCACTGCCACTCCTCCTCCCCCTCCAACCCCATAGAGGTCTGAGTGGGCTTTTATACCCCTCTCGCCACCAGAGCCTGGTCCAGGCTGCCACAGGGGCACTTCCAGTAACCACCTTTCTCCCCCATCCCAGGCCATCCCCACTGGGCCAGTCCCCAAATGGAACCTCACCTGGCCCCAGGACCCACCGCCCCTCATGCAGCAGCGCCCAGCTCCTCCTCCTGAGGCTGAGGGGCTCACCCTGCCCCTCAATCCTGCATGCCAGGGCTGGAGGGGCAGCCTGGACCCTCCTCACCATCAGGAATGGTCTTTAGGGGGAAATCACATTAAATTAGAGTCTCCCTCCAAATTTCAAACCGTGGAAGCCTCCATCGACCCGGCCACCCACCCCCATCCAACGGGGCCAGAAATAGTGCATGTGCTAGCACCACACGGACGTGTGTCTGAAGGTACAAGCTACCGTTTGTCCCAAGAATTAAAGTCATGCAGAGTGCTATTCTGTCTAAGTAACTTATTAGAAAACGGATTGGTTTCAGGCTGGGAGAAGCTGTGGCTGGGTATTGCCGGCAGCAGCCTGGGCTATAAGATTCACAGGGCAGACCCTGGTGGACAGCTGAGGCAGGAGGGCCTCAGGCAGCTGGGAGAGGCCACCTGATCTAGCAGGCGCTGGGGGAGAGGTGTCCCCCCACCAACCCCTGCCACACTGTGCAGTGGGTTGCTACAGGAACCACGCCTGGTGCCCGCCAAGTCAGCCAAGCCAGGGAGAGGGGCACATGGATCAACAGGAGCGAGACTGAGATGATGTCAAAGCAAAGCAGGGTGGATGGAGCAGGACGGTGGGGGCAGTCCAGGCCCACCAGAGAGCAGGCAGGGTGGGCAGAGGACAGGCCCCCCTGGAGGCAAGCTCAGACCAGGACAAGGGCGCTCACCAGCTTCGGTCCTGGGGTCCAGTCTGGGCAGGGCAGGGGGCTGTGGCATGTGGCATGTGGCATGCGGCATGCTGCGGCCAGGCCACGTCCTCAGCATGCACAGAGCAAAGCAGGGCCGCATTCAGCTCTGCCTCCTATGGGGCAGCGGCCAGCCGGCCCAGCAGACCACACTCTAGGGACTGGCAGCTGAGCCATAGCTTGGTTAGGGGCCAGGAGGCTGCTCCTTGGAGGGCTTTGCTGCAGAGGTTCTGTGCTTGGTGGGCAAGGCCAGGCCTTCCCTGACGGAGGCAGGCTAGGCAGCTGGGTGGACAGTCTAGGTGGTCCACGATGCCACTCTTCAAGGAGTGGCAAGTCACCCTGACAGGCTGGGGAGGGCAAGGGGCCATGGCTGCAGATAACCCACCCCACCAAAGTGTCACGGATGAGCAACAGCCCCAAGGCCCCCAGAACCAGCCAGATAACTACGAGACGCTGAGAAAGGAAAACCCAACACAGATGCCAAGGTGAGCGTCTGAAAGCAGGGCCGCACCAGGCGGCGGGCAGCGGGCACAGGTGGACGGGGTGAACGGGGTGGCGGGCGGGTGGGCGGTTGCGGTCACTCCTCGCGCAGCTGCAGGCGGTAGCGGTGGTAGCGGACCTGGAAGAAGAGGCGCTCGGCCAGCGAGAGGGTCATGCCAGGCAGCACGTAGTGGTCACTTGCACCCATGTGTCTGAAGCCCAGCGACTCATAGAGCTTGTGGGCAGCCACCTTGACGGCTGTGGTGCCCAACACCACCGCGGAGTAGTTGTGCAACACTGCGAACTCGAGCACCTTCCGGCCCAGCGCCTTGGCGATGCCCTTGCCACGGAAGCGCGAGTCCACAGACATCCGCAGCAGCTCCACTGTGTTGTCCTCCTCGTGGGCCCGTGCAGCCACAATGCCCACCACGTTGCCATCCAGAACGGCCACCCAGAAGCAGGAGCCTGCAGAGGACAAGATGGTCAGGGATACTCCAGGGAAGGCTGGGGAGGACTCAAGGGTGCCAAGCCAGGGAGACTCAGCCCCTGTGGCCCATCTCCCAGCTCTTCTGGACCCAAGGGGCAGCACAGTCCTGGACAAGCAGGTGCAGCTGTCTCCTCCAGACGCCCTCGGTCAGGCCCAGCCGGCCTGCTCTCTGCAGCCCAGACACACTCAGCTCTTAAGACCAGGCTGCCCTAGCGAGGGTGGCCGTCGGAGGCCCAAGTCCCTCCCCTGGGATCAAGACCTGGGCAGACTCAGCCAAGCAGGCCCCTGCTCCCAGACCTAATGGCCTCAGATGACTGTGGCCAGGCCTCAGGAATGGCTGGCCCGCTCATCTCTGCCCCCAGCCTGCACATCAGCAGCAACCACAGCTACCCCTGTGCCCCTCCCTGAACCCCTCCTGCTGGTGCCCTCTTCCCTCCATGCAGGGCCAGGTGAGGGCTCACACAGAGAACTGGATGCTATGGGAAAGAGTCAGGAGATTGGCAGGGGCCATGGCCAGGTGGGCAGGGCCAGGATGGGGCAACTCAGCCCACGCCAGCAACAGCAGCAGTTGGCACTGTCGGAGTGGACTGCCACTGCCCAGCACTGACCCAGCTCCTGCTGGTCAGTGCCCCTCTCCTCAGCCCAGAGACACCCTAGCACCTGGGAGGTGTGCAGGCCCCAAAGGGCCAAAGGCCTCTTTCCTCTGGCTCCCAGGACCCAGCCTGCCTCAGGGCCAGCCTGGGGGAAGAGTAGCCCCATGTCTCTCTAGACTGGACTCCCAGCCCCTCCCACTACAGAAGGCCACAGTGGCTTGAACAAGACCCTCCTGTTCACTAAGTGGCCCCCAAACCACGCCATAAATGGAAGCCAAGGCTAAGGCCAGGACCCCTGCCCTGGTCCTCTGTTCCCTGGAGTATCCTTTGCTACAGCATGTCCAGGTGTCCTTTCTCCCTGCCACATGGGTTCCCTCCACCCAGGGCCCCTGCACTCCAGGCCAGCACAGGGTCCAGCAAGGTAGGACAGCCAGGATCTTGCCCCCCACCAAGCAGGTGCCAGCTAGAGCAGCAGAGTCAGGCCACCCTGGCCCAGAGTCAGCTCAGGCCACCCAGGGGGAGGGCTCAGCTCTGCTTCTCACAGTCCACTGAAACCCCCACCACTGGCAAGGCCTCAGTCACTCAGAAATCTCAGGTCAACAGGAACCCCCAGCCCAGGCCCATCTGTGCCTGTGCCTGGCCCTGGCCCACAGATGCTGGGGGTAAGGGCAGCTCTGCCAGAAGGAGGGGCCAAGGGCAGCTGCAGACCACACGACTCACCAGGTGGCTTCATGTAGTACTGTTCGATGTCGGCCATGTCTGTGTGCAGCGCACACTCCAGGTAGGCCAGGATCACCTTGCGGCTGTAGTAATAGCGCAGGGCCAGCAGCCCAGCAGGCACCAGGCACGTCAGCATCAGCGAGCGGGTCACAGCAAAGCAGAGTGCTGCAGGCAAGGGGCACAGTTGAGCTGGCAGGTGCAGGGCAGGCCTGGTCATGGGGTGAGCTACACAAACAAGGGCCCGAAACACCCAGCCCTGCCACCTTGGTAAACCAGCACTTCTTAGGACGCGCAAGTTAGGGAGATCTCCCCGCAGCAGCGGTCAGTCTGTGCCCCTTACTACTCTTCCTTAGTTTCAAAATTTCTGCCACAAAGATAAACTACCTCTGTAATCTGAGACAAGCCGGGGCAAGCTGCCCTAAAGGGCTGGGGGGCAGCCTAGGGCTCCGTCCCCTGGATGCCAGTGCCTACCTCCCCAGCTGCCAAGGGGCTCTGCCCACCCTTCCCCACTGGATCTAGCCTGGTGCAAAACCAAGAGGCTGCAAGGAGCCTACCGGGGAGCAGCCCACAGGGCCTGTAGGCCATCCTACAGCTGGAGAGTGGAGGTGGCAGGGTTCCCTCATTTGGGGACCTCCAGGCCTACAAGGACAGGGGCAGGAGAGATTTATGCCACTTGCAGCACAATTCGGGCTGTGGAGGAGTGAGTCTCCTCTGCTGTATGACCTTGGGAGAATGGCCTCAGCTCCTTGTCGGTAGAATGGGAGGGCAATCCTGCCCTGGCGGGGCTTCAAAAATGCGCGGGCCGTCCTCCGAGAGTGGCCCAGGTGCACAGTCCACCCGGCGCCCCGCGGAGATGGCCGTCTTCCCCTGGTACATCCTCACTGGGAGCCGCCGAGGCAGCCTCCCCCGCCCGCCGATTATATATAGTTCCCGCGCCAGGCGCCGGCCGCAGCGCCGCGCTAGCTGCCCCGTCACGCCGCCCGCAACCGCAACCGGGTGCCCGGGAGGCGACCCGCGGGGAGACCCGCAGGGAGGGCGGCGGGGATGCAGGTGGGGGGCTCTGCCCTTGGCGACCGCAGCCCCCGCTCGGCGCGCGCTGGTTCCCGGCCCCCGGCCCCGCCGCAGAGTGCGGGCGCGGGCGTGTGCGGGCTCCCTCCCTCCCCGGACGGCGGGGCCGGGGCGCCCGGGCTCCGAGGCGGGGGTCTGCACAGGGGGCCGGGCGGGAGCGGAGGGAGGAGCCTCGGGCGACGGTCCCCAAGGGGCCCGCCGGGCTCGCTCGAGCCCGGGCCCCGCGCGAGACTGCGACATGCAGGAGCCGGCCCGGCCCGGCGACCCCGCGGTCCCCGCCGCCCGCGCCGCGCACTGACCGGCCAGCAGGGCGTAGAGCAGCTGCGTGCGCGGGTGCTGCCGCAGGCCGCGGAAGGCCGTGTTGGGGATGCGCTCCAGGATGCCGTCGTAGAAGATGCGGCGCGCCGCCTCCTGCTCGGCTGCGCGGAACTCGCGGATGCACACGCCGCGCCCCGCCGGCGGCCCCACGCCCTCGGGACCGCCGCGGGGCTGGGGGCCCGGCGCGGGTGGGGGCGCGGCGGCCGG